CTTCCTTCCTTCCTTCCTTCCTTCCTTCCTTCCTTCCTTCCTTTCCTTCCTTCTCCTTCCTTCCTTCCTTCCTTCCTTCCTTCCTTCCTTCCCATTGTTGCTCTTTAATTATCTCCAACATCCCAGTGGAGATAACCCAAGAACACCTTCAAGGGAACAACTTGGGAACAACTGAGCAAGCAATTCACTGAGATTCCCAACACAAACCAATTGTGGTCCAGCCACACTTTCCTCCCCACGGGCCTCTCACACACCGTTCACTCGGGGGGGGGGAGGGGAAAGTGGGGGGGGCTTCCTTGCACTTCAGTTCCAGCCGTTCCCGTCCCACCAGCGGCCTCTCAATGCCACAGAGCGGCTACATGCCGATTACGGAAAAAACAAAAATGCTCCCATCCTAGGAAAAAACAGGTATTCAAGTGAAAGAATCAAAACCCAGCAGTTGAAAGGTGACCTTTCTCCCTTTTATCGCAAGACTCTCTCTTTTCGCGTTCAAAGCCCCCCTGAAAAAGAACGTGCAACTTACGTTCCCATCGCTCCTCTGTCCTCCTTTATGGGTAAGCACTACCACCTCCATCCATTTACGCAGGTGTTGCTACAAAAAGTATTAAGAAGGAGAGCCGTCAGATCCTGCACGCTGGCATTCCTGATCGGCAGGCGCTATCAGCCTGTGAGAAAAATCTCTCTTTCCTTTCCCCGCCAATGCGGGATTCACTTTTTTTTTCATATCCCCCTTGGGCGGATCAATTTAATAAATTCATTATTGATTGAATCAAAAGAAGAAGAAAAAGACGTAAACTAAAAAGGCAGACTTGGTTGGACCAATAGATCTTTTTTCTACCCTCAGTTTTCTGAATAAACTGGACATCCAACCAAGAATATGGTCACCCCCAATGTGTTCCCCCCCCCCAAGAGGTAACTGGACTTTTCTGTTTTTTTTCCTTTGAAGACGTTTCACTTCTCATCCAAGAAGCTTCTTCAGCTCTGACTGGATGATGGTGGGGAAAGGAAGGATTTACACTCCTTGCAGACCGAGCTGGTCATTTGCATCTTTTTTTAGAGAGTCGTCGAGGCCACTTGGAGGTTTATATTTGTTCTCAGGGTCACAGCTGGTCGTTTGCATTGAACGGGGCGGGAGTATGAAAGGATTTCCAGAGGGAAAAAGAACTGTAGGCTACAGGAACGTTTGCACTGCTGAGGTGACCCTGAGGATACAGATAATCCTACAAGTGGCCTCAACGACTCTAAAAAGAATGCAAACGACCGGCTGTCTGCAAGGAGTATCAATCCTTCCATTCCCCACCATCCAGTCAGAGCTGAAGAAGCTTCTTGGATGAGAAGCGAAACGTCTTCAAAGAAAACCCAGAAAGTCCAGTTGTCTACTGAAAAAGCACCTCTGGGACAACCTGGAGGACTTGAGAATCTCCGTAAACATTAAGAATACAGTCAGTTTCCCCCCCCCCCCCGCCCGCTTAACTTCTGCCTTCCTTCCAAAGTCTTACCATCATCTGGTCACAAAACTTGTCGTTAAACGAGTTGGGGAAGAGCCTCGTCACCGATGTCAGCCTGTTGACCACGTTGAGGGTTAGGCTCCGATAGTCGCCCAGCATCATAAGCAACGGTCTCATGTGGGTGTGGATCTGGTCCACCTCGATGGTTGCGCCTTCCAAAAACTGCGAGGGGCCAAAAACAGACAAGGATCGGAGAACGCAAATGCTCCTGTGACACTACTATAACCACAACCATAATAGAGCCACACTCTTCCTGGTTATTATCACTGCGCCGACATAGCCTGTGACCTACGATACAGCTCCGGCTCCTGCCAATCTAGCAGTTTGAAAGTGTGCAAATGCAAGTAGACAAATAGGTACCACTTCGGTGGGAAGGTAACTGTATTCTGTGCGCCTTTGGCTTGTAGTCACGCTGGGCACGTGGCTACAGAAATTCTTTGGACAACGCTGGCTTCCTCGGCCAAGACACGGAGGTGAGCATCACCCCTAAGAGTCGGACACGACTGGACAGGGAAACCTTCACTTTTGGACTTCAACTCCCAGAATTCCCCAGCCAGCCAAGGGGATTCCAGCCTAGGGGGAATTCTGGGAGTTGAACTCTACATAGGTTTACTGACTGGGGAATTCAGGGAGTTGAAGGTGGTAAATGAGGCCTGGAGAAACCACTTTCACCAAGATCTCAAGAGAGAGTCCCACTGGCCTCAACTGCCATCAGCTTCCGGTCTCGAGAAGAAGGAGAGAAAAAAAAAAAAAGGAAAGGAGACCAAGAGGAAAGAGCTTCAATTTTCCCCCCTCACAAACCTTCCTCATGCAGGCCTCGCCAGCTTCCTGAAGCTCATTGTTGGTTGAATTGAGGGCCTTGAAGAGAGCGCCGATGATCTTCTCTCGGGACTGGGGCAAGTAGTTGCAGGCAGCCAAGGCATCTGCATAGAATCGGACAAAGCAAAGTCCCCTTCTGAAGCGGGAATTCAAAACGTGGGACCCAAACAGTCCTAAAACAAACGAGGTTCTTCCGGCAGATATTCTGCTACGTCCAAAGGTTCCCCCGTTTGTTTGTTTTTAAAAAAATCATTATTGTGCACTGATGATGTTACCCAGTTTGGTAATGAAACATCTGCAAGAAAACAACCAAGCTTTATCCCCAGAGTTAGAGTGGGGCTTTGCTAACAGCGGTGGCTCTTCCGTCCCAAGGACCGGCTCATAGATTTCCACTGCTCTCCTCTCCTCTGCCTTCAGTGCATCCATGCGTCAGGCACTGGGCCCAGCTGTCCCTCCTGTTCCTCATCAGCCACCTCCAGACCCGGAGCTGTTGACTCTCCATCTGAGGGCTGATGGACGGCCCAAGCTCCGCCTCCACCCCTCTGTCTCTCTGTCTCTCTCTCTCTCTGATAGCTCCATTCCCTCTTCCACCTCAGAACTCTCAGGTTGTCTTGATGCTGACCCTGACTCCCATACCTCCCCCTTTGATTTGGCTGCTGGAGGGGCCGGCGGCCAACAGGCCACAACACAAGCTCAGAGAACACCAAGGATCCCACATTGCTAGTAATTTTGGCCAGAAATCCTGGAAATTGCAAGCCAAGGTTAGGGTCCAGCCCTTGAGCCAACAAATAACTTTTTTTTTTTTCAACACAGCTGCCTTTAAGGCTTGGAACCGGCTCCATTTACGCAGTAAAGCAGCTAGCTTCAAATCTTGGATCGACTTACTCAGAGCTGCAATTCGGAGCGGCACCAAAGAAGGCAGGCTCTTATAACAGGGCAATTTCATCAAGGCACAATCTTCAGCCTCACACAGATTCAGCAGCTAGAAGTTCAAAGAGAAGAGAAGTTGGCTTTGGACACAACCTGGTTGACTTCCAGACCAAAGAAAAACCATCGACATGCCAGCCTGATCTCCAAAATGAAGGGGCGCTTCATCACCAACTTAGTTAAGACATTTTGAAGAGTTTTTGGTACAACGTTTCTTCTCTATGGTGTGTCCTGTTTGGGACACTTCTTTCATGAATGATCACTGTTTTAGAGATTCAGCTGTAGAATCGTAGAAAAACAGCCGTCGGATCATTCCAAGGATCATCTTGGTTGTTCTTTACAATGGTCTACTAGATACATCTGAGATGTTTACGTAGATGACCAGATGGAGCCCGAGGGAGGGGACAAAAGTGTCATCAGCCTCGAGTCGCTTCGTGCCCACAAGAGATCTAAATCCAGTCCACCTTGAATTCCTTCCACTCTTATCTCCCGCTAATTTCCCTTGGCTGTTAGTAGTTCCAATTTTGTAGAGAGCTTAAGCTTATGTGGTGGTTGTAGGTACTTTAGCCTCAACCCCAAAACAGTTAAGACTTTCCTTCCATGAATAAAGACAAACTATTTAGTCCAGCTTGCTTTATACTGTAATAACAATTCCACATTCTGTACCCCTCTTTTCGCCTCTCTCTGGAACCACTCTGATACATGCCCCAGTCTCATCACCCAACTTCAAGTTCTTCAAATTCCTTCCCCAGAATTCCTCTCATCCTACGCATCACCGTGTCCACACTGCACGCCTTAAAAGAGTTAGGACTTCAAAAGATGAAAAGAAGCATTTCTCTGGCTTATGCAAAATGAAAAGTGGGCAAAAGAAAATAATATCAACAAACCTTTGAACGGGAATTCTTATTTATTTATTTTTTAGGAGCCCATGCAACTCTTGGAGAGTGGTGAAATTTATGAGGTCTAAAGACTGTGAATTACTTCCTTGCCTGTACAAGTTATTGAATGAAAATCTCTAGAGATTCATGAACACAAAGTTGTTCTTTCTGTAACTGAACCCTCTGAGATTTTTCAACATTAAAAAACCCAAGACTTTAGGGGAAAATAATCCAAGCAGAGGTAATGCTGCAGATACATAAATATAAAAATATTCATCCACCTTTTCACGAAGCATTAATCAAAGCATCTACAGGGCTTCCTGAGTTACAAGGCTCCATTTTTAAAAAAACAGTCCAAAAGTGACGAAGAATAAATACCTCTGTATAAAATACTTTGTGCTCAACCACGTTGAGGTCCATCGTGAAAAGCCGGGGTTGCAGCGTGGTACAAAACGTATTCCCTTCCATCAAACCGATCTGGGCGTTTGCAGGCTGATGTCGGAGCAAGTGTTTTTTGGGAGGCACCATATCTTGTAGAACCTAAAAGAAAGCCAAGGTGTCAACTAAAAAAATACTTCTTTGGTCTTTTTAGTGGCCAGCAGAAAGGAAGTGGGGAAAGTAATACATTCCTTAAATGTTTCAGATAATTGCTAGGCAGCCAAAGCTGTTGGAGCACAAGAGTATTACTGCATGATTGGTGACTCTTGGCTATGGATGTGTCCCATTGGAGAATATACATCCAGGGGGTGGAGGGGTCAAGGATGAAATGAATGATTTGTCTTAGAGTCGGCTGCACCCAGGTAATGCTGACATGGTCACTCCTAATAAATCATTTTTTTTTTCTCTTGAGAGATTTGTCGGAGCCTGGACACCAGATCTATCAAGAACATGACCCTTGTTGGCTTGTTCCCATTACCACCACCCATCCTGGTGGTTTCCCCATCCGTCCAACAAACCAGGTGTCAGGATTCTGGCTGTTGCCCCTAATTAAATCATGAGCCTTGAGCTAAGCTTCAAAAACTTCATTTATTAGGAGCGAATATGTCGGCGTGACCTGTATGAAGCCGATTCTGAGACACTAATTCACCGTCACCCTTGACCCTGGTTTCCCCCCCAGCCCTCTGGGTGTATCATAATTCATATTCTCCAACAAAACAAGTTCATAGCTAAGAGTCATCAATCAGGTTCTCCAATTAGGGATTTGCTTAGCAGAAATTCTGGTAGCTTAGTTATAATCTTTGCAAGGTAAGTATGGAATGCGCTTTTGGTTTTAAACTGCTGCACTGCACTTTCAAATTTCTGTTCAACGCAACTTTAAAACAGGCATAGAAATGGGTCAGCTGGGCACCAGATTTGCTTAACGACCGCATGATTCACTTAACAACTGTGGCCAAACAGGTCATCCCCAGCGGGCATGACTGCTTTCACAACCGCCTCTGCTTTGCCACCGAAGTTCCAAAATGGCGGCCGTATAAGTCGAGCAGCAGCGGTAAGCGGACCCCGCGCGAAAGCATTCCAGCTTCCGCTTCGCAGCTGCGGGGCAACGATGCGCAGCCTCACCTCCTTGTGGGGCTCCATGATCGCCGTGACGCTCTTGCCCGTCACCTGGGCCACCACCTGGAGGGAGTGCATGGCCTGCTTCCTGACGGTGGAGTTTGGCGAGGTGACTTCTCGGACCAGGTCATGGGTCACATGGTGGAAGGACTTCTCCTGGGCCGTGAGGATCTCCTCCGTCTTCTCTTCTTCTTTCAACAACGTCGCGCATCGGATTAAGAGCTGCTCAAGGGTCGTCTTGGCCATGGCCACAGCCCCGTTGGAAACCTGGGTGGGCAGGCGTTGAAAGTTTATTATAGGGCTTTTTTAATTAGTTGGAACAATCAATCGGTGGAACAATTTGCCTCCAGAAGGTGTGGATGCTCCGACACTGAAATAGCACAGGGTCTCCTGCTTGAGTAGGGGGTTCGACTAAAAGACCTCCAAGGTCCCTTCCAACTCTGCATTCCATTCCATTCTATTCTATTCTATTCTATTCTATTTCTAATTCTATACTATATTATATTCTGTTCTTTTCTCTATTCTATTCTCTATTCTATTCTCTATTCTGTTCTCCATTCTGTTCTGTTCTATTCTGTTCTGTTGTATTCTGTTCTATTATATTCTACTCTATTCTACTCTACTCTACTATTCATTCCAATATTCTATTCTATTCTCTATTCTATTCTAAATTTTATTCAGGTATGTGGCTATAATAAAAGACTGACAGACTGGCTGACTGTCTGGAGTGAAAGTGACGAGAGGGGGCAAGAGGGGAAGGGAGATGAGCTATAAAACTGAAGAGATATATGTCATATGAAATAAATAGCAATAGCGCTTAGATTTATATACTGCTTCATAGTGGTTTTACAGCCCTCTCTAAGCAATTCAGAGTCAGCCTATGGCCTCCAATCACCTGGGTCCTCCTTTACTAACCTCAGAAGGACAGAAGGCTGAGTCAACCTTGATCGAACTCCTGGCAGTGGGCAGAGTTAGCCTGCAACACTGCATTGTAACCACTCCGCCACTATACCTTCCCTTCCTTTCCCTTCCTTCCTTCCTTCCCTTCCTTCCTTCCTTTTCCTTCTTCCTTTCCTTCCTTTCTTCCTTTTCCTTCTTCCTTTCCTTCCCTTCCTTCCTTTCTTCCTTCCTTCCCTCCTTCCTTCCTTCCTTCCCTTCACTTCCCCTTCCTTCCTTCCTTCCTTCCCTTCCCTTCCCTTCCCTTCCCTTCCCCTTCCTTCCTTCCTTCCTTCCTTTCCTTCCTTCCTTCCTTCCTTCCTTCCTTCCTTCCTTCCTTCCTTCCTTCCTTCCTTCCTTCCTTCCTTCCTTCCTTCCCTTCCCTTCCCTTCCCTTCCCTTTCTTTCCTTCCCTTCCCTCCTTCCTTCCCTTCCCTTCCCTTCCCTTCCTTCCTTCCTTCCTTCCCTTCCCTTTCCTTCCTTCTTTCCTTCCTTCCCAAGCAATAGCAGACTTATATATAATACTTCACAGTGCTTTCCAGCCCCCACTAAGCAGTTTACAGAGTCAGCCTCTTGCCCCCCAACAATCTGAGTCCTCGTTTTTCCCAACCTCGGAAGGAGGGAAGGCTGAGTCAACCCTGGCTCTTAATAAGAGAGACCCACCTCTCCCGTCAGGTCCATCATGACAAAGAGCAAAGCCTTGAGGAACGTCTGCTGGTTCTGGAGGACCCAAATCAGAGGGAGACGCTCCATCAGGAACTTGATGGACACCACCCCACCGAGCTTGGCGTACCACGCTTGCTCGTAGCAACAAGCACAGAGGCGCTCCACGATGTAGGAAAACAAGGGCAACTGGCAGGCCTGGAGGACAGGAAGAAACGACGGTCACTCAAAGGGGCCGGGGACCCTTCCGAGGAAGGAAACGGCGGCCCCACGTCCAATGGGTTTACCCGTTCCTTGGATCCCAGGATGATGCTGGCCACGTCAAAGATCACAGCCAAGGCCACCTCGCCGATCTTGCAAAGCTCCTTCTCCTCGTAGGCCATGCAGATGGCGATGGCGTCGATCAGCACCAAGGGATCCATGCCTCTCGACCCGTTTTCCTCGCTATGGAACATGGAGGTGCTGGGCTGGCTTCCCACCTGGTAACACTGGAGCAGGAAAGGGCCTGCAGGTCGACCACGTGACAAGGAGAACGAAAGGAGGGAGGGGAGGGAGGGAAGAGGGAGGGAGGGAAATTAAAGAAGGGCGCAGGGGCAGTTTTGCCCTCAAACCAAACACTCTCTTCTAGCACTGGTGAAGCTATCTAGTTCAGTAATAAAAGGTCTGCAAACAACCAAGTTCAGAGAGCGCCAAGGACCCCACAGTTCCTATCTGAAGTACAAACCTGTCATCCATCCATCTATCCATTTGTCTATTGTGTTTGTCAATCTATCTAATATATATCCAGCCACCATCTACCTATCCATCTATCTGTTATATCTATGCCTATCTCTATATCACCTGTGTGTATACATGCATATATGCACACGTATATACATATATACGTATATATATAAACTATATCCATCATCCATCCATCATCTATCTATCTATCTATCTATCTATCTATCTATCTATCTATCTATCTATCTATCTATCTCTCATCTCTCTCTCTCTCCCTCCCTCCCTCTCTATCTCTATCTATCTATCTATCTATCCATCCATCCATCCATCTATCCATCCATCTTTCTATCTCTATCTATCTAACTATATCCATCATCCATCCATCATCTATCTATCACCTATCTATCTATCTATCTATCACCTATCTATCTATCTATCTATCACCTATCTCTATCTATCTATCCATCAGTCTCTATCTATTATCTGTCTGTCTGTCTATCTATCTATCTATCTATCTATCTATCTATCTATCTATCTATCTATCTATCTATCTATCTATCTATCTATCTATCTATCTACAACAGCCTAAGGAGCCATCAAGAGCACTTCCACTAACACTGACAGGGCAAGCCAATTATACTGTATATAAACAGAGAGCAAACTCCAGTTTCTCCTAACACTGATGATGTTATCTTGTTGGGTAATGAAACATCTGCAAGAAATCAACCAAGCTCAGAGAGCACTAAGGACTGCATAGTCCTCCTCCTGCTTCTCCTCCCTCCTCCTCCCCCTCTTCCTCGGCTAACTCCACTCCCTTCAAGCACTGATGATGTTACTTAGTCGGGCCCTGGAATGTCTGCAAAGGAACAACCAGCCTCACAGAGCACCAACCACCTTATAACACTAGATCTTTGAAGTCAGATCTTCGCAGAGTCCGACATAACCGAGAGATCTCTTATCACCACCTTTCTCAACCTATTGCCTATAGGATTGCAATCCCAGGTCTGTTGGAATTACCGGGTGTTTGGCCTTTGACCCTGCTGGTTCAAAACCTCTACAAAGTTCAGCAGAGTCCGCGATCAGGCCTACATTCCTAGTCACCTTTCCTGCTCCCCAAATTAAAATGACGGAAGAATGACTCGGTTTTCTTTTACGGGCTACCGGCTTCTATGCGCCAGCAGGCAAAAATCGGGGACTACGTACTTCCCGGTTACGTCCGGCCCGTAGCCGAATCCTTACCACACTGCTGGGCCACCGCCACCATGGTGTAGTGGCGGATCAGGCTGGCCACGAAAGGCAGGGCGCTGGGTCGCAGGTCTTTGATCACCGCTGACATGAAGGCTCCCGTCAGGGCCTGTTCAAAGGTCTTTCGGGCCGGCGTGTCCTGAGCCTTGTAGCGGTGGGAGATGATCACGTTGGGGATGGACTTCTCCGTGAAGCTGTCAAAACCAAAGCGAGACCACCAAGAAGAATCCCATCAGAGTGAACTGGCTTTTAGGGCAGGGTGAACACAGGCCCTGCTGTTGTGAACTTGGATGTCATTGTATCATCCGGTCAGCCTTCCACCCTTTAGGCCAGGGGTCTCCAACCTTGGCAACTTTAAGACTTGTGGACTTCAACTCCCACAGCTCCTCAGCCAGTTTTTGTTGGCTGAGGAACTCTGGGAGTTGAAGTCCACAAGTCTTAAAAGTTCCCAAGGATGGAGACCCCTGGCCTTAGGCAACCTCCAAAAGTTGTTGTGTGGTACGGAAGCATCTCCATAGCAGACAAAAATGCTCTACAGAGAATCATTAAAACCGGCCCAGAATATCATTGGGCTCCAACTACCAGCCCTGGATGACATCTTCCCATCTCGCTGTTTGAGGAAGTTGCACAACATGCTCAAGAAACTCTTCCCATCCTGCTCGCAATCTTTTGTGAACTGTTGTGCCTTCTGGCAGAAGATACAGAACCATTAAAACTCGGACCACACGTTTCCTGAACGGTTTTTATCCCAGAGCTATAATTGCACTTAACAGTGACCTTAAGGACCACCATCAGTGAGCTGTTTGCCAGTGTCCGATGGATCCACCTGAAATTAACTAGCCCTGATGACGTTACCTAGTTGGGCCATGAAATGTCTGCAAGATCAGAGAGCACCAGAGACCCCTTGATTCTCTTCCCCCTCTTTCCCCTCCTCAAGCCCCACTCCATCCTGGCCCTGATGACGTCACATGAACAGGTCATGAAACATCTGCAAAGAAAAAAGTACCAAGGACTCTTCATTTCAACCCTGAGCACCTTTATGGATCCACCTGTGTGTTCTTACTTGGGATGTGCAAGAAGCTGGTACAGAGCATGCTTGTTGTCATCTAGGCTCATCATGGCAACCAGGAAGCATTTGATGACCTCCCAGGCTTGCCTCCGATAGTAGGGCTCCGTGTTGGCGCTCTTCAAACAGTCCAAGGCGGTCTCAATGGCCTGTGATGATGGAAAAGGGTCCCTCTTGGTCAACCGGTAGAAAACCCCAAAGCATCACCATGTTGGAAAACACCCAACCGTTGCTCATCATCTTACGAAGCTTCTCCTCCGGAAATATCGAATTGCTAACTAGAGCATACAAAACCTTGGCCAGACCAATACTCGAATACAGCTCATCCGTCTGGAATCCACACTGTATATCGGACATTAATACAATCGAGCGAGTCCAGCAGTATTTCACGAGAAGAGTCCTACACTCCTCTGCTCGCAACAGAATACCCTATATCACCAGGCTTGAGATTTTGGGCTTGGACAACCTTGCTACGGCGCCTATGGGTGGACTTAAGCGTAGCACACAAAATTATCTGCTACAATGTCCTACCAGTCGATGACTACTTCAGCTTCAACCACAACAATACAAGAGCACACAACAGATACGAACTCAGAGTTAACCGCTCCAAACTTAATTGCAGAAAGGACAACTTCAGCAACAGAGTGGTCAATGCCTGGAATGCACTACCTGACTCTGTTGTTACATCCTCTAACCCCCACTCCTTTAACCTCAAACTATCGACTATTGACTTCACCCCATTCCTAAGAGGTCTGTAAGGGGCGTGCGTAAGTGCACCATCGTGCCTCCCGTCTCTGTCCTATTGTCCCCATTTATTCATACCTATTTCCTGTATTTTTACTCATGTTTATACTTATACCTATTATCTTGTAAGCGATTGACAAATCAAAATAAATTAAAAATTAAATACTGCATTCTAACCACTGCGCCACCAGGAATATATCTCACCAGAAGTCAAATCTGACCCAAATTTGGACATTCGGGGCTACCAGAATCTATATCATCATCACCATCTTTTAATGACCCTATAATCTCTTGGGGGTTGCAGTCTGAGCAACTGAACGGAGCAGAGTGTTTCGTGGCCGGATGCCTTTCTTGTTGCCAAGGCAGAGTTTTGTCCGGCAGATAAATTCTCCATGTGCCCAGAGAGAAAAAATATTTGCCTCTACCTAGGATCGAACTCACAGCCTCCTGATTGTGAGGCGAGAGCCCCGCCTCTAGGCCACTGCACCACTCTACCAGAATCTATACGCGAAGGCAGTTTTTTTTTTTTTCAGGCCGAAAACGCTCAATCCCGAAAGGACTTGAGGTAGGCCTCACCTTCTCCATGGGGAGCTGAATGGATGCTTTGCAGTCAGAGAACTCCGCTGTAATACTAGGCCCTTGAATCTCCGTCACCACGTAGTGCAGCTTCTGGGACTCCTTCAGCATCTTCCGGTTGCTTCCACCGAATTTGCCCAGCACGCGATAAGCCACGTGAGAAATGGTCTCCGCGGGATTGCGCAGGGTCCTCCACAGAGCCTAAGAAGGAAGTGGGTGAAACCGCTAAGGAGCAGTTCAGGAGGTGGCAACGTAAAGAGTTTTAAAAACATTCAAAGTTCTTCAGGGCAGTATAAAACCTCCATCATAAATATGTCACAGAGCCACTTTGGTCTGGTGGTGAAGGCACACCAGGCTTGAAACTGGGAGACGGTGAGTTCTAGTTAAGTTGGTATTTGAAGACTCTGTTTTAGGCATGAAAGCCAAACTGGATAGTTTGGGGCCAATAACCAGGAGACTATAAGTTCTAGTCCCAACTTAGGCACAAAAGCCAACTAGAAGATGTTGGGCCAATCACCGGGTTGGCGGTGAATTCTAGTGCCTTCTTAGGCCAGTAAGTGTTGTAATTAGCCAGCAGCAGGTGCGGACAGCTGAGGAGAGCGAGGACTCAGATGAGGGGCCAGGACCATTGGGGAGTGGACTGCTGCCTTCAGAGATTGTGGGGGCTGGCAGCAGTGATGAGGAGGTTCCTGAGGAGTCTGTGCCAAGTGCGCGTGCACGCGGGGCTGCTGGCAGGAAAGAACAGCCGCAGCAGCACAGGTGACTCAGGAGCAAGACTGCAAGGTAACGGCCCCTCCTTTAAGAAGATAAAAGCCAGCTGTGAAGTGAACGTTCTTTGCAGGAAGCAAAGACGTTTTGAAACTCAGCCTCGTGGACATTACAGCATTTTAATTTGGTTTTTGAAGACTCTTGTGTTGTGAAATACTTATCTGTGATTTTTGGCAGTCTCGTACAGTTTTGGCAAGGTTTGTGCTTATCAAAGTTAATGAGTTTGCAGCAGCCTTTTAACCGGGGATTCGTAAGATTCATTAAAAGGTTTCTGTTCCCTTTGGTTATTGTCTGTCTTATTGGAAAGGGGTTTGGGTCAGAACAATAAACCAATCACCAGGATATGGTGAATTCTAGTCCATCCTTAGGCATGAATGCTTTCTGGATGGCTTTGGGCCAATCATCAGGAGACAGTGAGTTCTAGTTCCACCTCGGATGTGAAAGCCAGCTGGGTGGCTTTGGGCCAATCACCAGGAAACTGGGAGTTCTAGTTCCACTTTAGGCATGAAAGCCAGGTGGATGGCTTTGGGCCAGCCACAGTCTCAGCCCAAATCATCTCACAGTGGTATTATAACGGGCAAAATAGGAGGAGGGAACACTGGGTATGTCTGCTGCCTCGGAATATTTACAACGCCAATCATAAAATAAAAATAAACAATAAAAATAAAACAAAACAATACAATGAACCATTCATTCTAGCTAGCAGGAATTCCTGCAAGCTACAGTTTCACATCTGCCCTGTTATAAATCCAACGGTTCTCAAAGAGGCCAAGCTATTCCTTCAGACTAATTGCCAACCATTTCAGCAGCTTCCTCAGAAAACAAGCTGCCGCCTACTTAACAAACCAACATCCACTTTGAATCCAGTGGTGGGATTCAATTTTTTTTTACTACCGGTTCTGTGGGCGTGGCTTGCCGGGAGTGGTGTGATGGCCGGGGCTTGGTGGGCGGTGGCAGGAGAAGGATACTGCAAAATCCCTATTCCCTTACCCAACCCATTAACCTGCTTTCCAGCTCCGTTCTCCTTTGCAGGGCAACTAGAGAAGACCCAGCTGATCAGCTGGGACTCAACCGGCGGCAGAGAAGAGATAGGGGCAGGGCCAACCAGAGGTAGTATTGGCCAGTTCTCCAAACTACTCAAAATTTCCGCTACCGGTTCTGGAACACCGGTCAGAACCGGCTGAATCCCACCTCTTGTTTAAATCAGGGTGTCCAACCTTGGCAACTTTAAGACTTGTGGACTTCAACTGCAAAGCTGGCTGAGGAATTCTTGAAGTCCACAAGTCTTAAAGTTGCCAAGGTTGGACACCCCTGGTTTAAATCATAATCTTGAGAGCTGTTAGCGCCAATCCGAAATTCTCCGCATTCCCCAAGCAAATCCTCTACAATCCGTTTGGCAGAATGACACCTTTTACCTGCATCAATTCGGCCCGGACAGGTTGTATGTGATCATACAAGAAATCCGGCTGCAGATTATCCACGCACAGCTCCAGGGTGCGCAGGCCTTGGCTGACCAGCGTCTGGGATCCATTCAAGGCGGACACCAAGGGATCCATCAGCATTGGCAGGTAAGGAAGGAGAGAGCTGAGTCGTACCGGGACGGTCAGGCAAAGCTCGACGAATAAATCTTTCATGTGCTGTTTGTGCAAGCCACTCTGAAGCATGTTAAGACCTGGAGAGCAACAAGGAGCAAACGGTCAGAACATCAAGTCCACCCTCGCAAACCCTAGGGAGAGATATGCAGGCAGTCCCCGACTTACAACGGTACGTGTCGTTCAAAGTTACCACGGCGCTGGAAAAAAAGGGGGGGGGCTTTGGGGCCGTTTTTCACACCGAACGACCGTTGCAACATTCCCGTGGTCGCGTGATTCAAATGCTTGGCTCGTTTTAGGACCAGGTGGGTGCTTATCTTGAGGGACTGTTTAGGACTCATTGCCAGCTGGGAATGAACAGAATTCCCAAGCGTTGAAATAAAACAAGAGTGGTTTTAACTAAGCGTGCGCTTAATTACGGTCTCGGGAAGCCTTGGTCCGAACGTAAGAGCATTACTGACCTTGTAGTAGGTTAGGTAGCAAGGGCAGGAATTCTTGATACAAGAGGTCATGGCTGCCTCCCCCAATGGATCGGAAAAGGGCTCTCAGCAGCAAGAAGTAGTTGTAAGGTTCCTTCGCCGTCTGCGCCAATTCCATGGAGCTATTGACTATTTTATGGAGATGCGGCTGAAAGACAGAAAAGAGGGACGGAGAAGAGGGTGCCGATTACTGACCAGGCCAAAAACGAAACCCCTGTTTTTCTATTTATCTGTCCGGATGAAGCATAGAATGGCTAGAATAGTTGGGACGTTGGATAGCAGGTTAGCGTCTTCTGCGTCTGAGACCCAAGAGCTGCCATCAGGCAGGGTTGAGTTCCTGCCCTTCACTCCAGCTCCTGGAGTGAACGTCAAAACAAAAACAAAGAGAGGTTTTGAGACCAAGGCAAGAAGTCCAGAGAAGCGTAACTAAGACGATTAAAGGCCTGGAGATTAAAACGTATGAAGAACGGTTGTAGGATTTGGGTTTGGCTAGTCTAGAGAAAAGTAGGATGAAGGGGCGGGGGGGACATGATAGCAGCCTTCCAGTATTCAAGGGGCTGCCCCAAAGAAGAGGGAGTCAAGCTATTCTCCAAAGCACCAAGACGACACAAGACACAGCAGATGGAAACTCATCAAGGAGAAACTTCCAACCAGTGAGGACAATTCACCAGTGGAACGATTTTCCTTCAGACTTTGTGTGTGCTCCATTGCTGGAGGTTTTTAAGAAGAGACTGGACAGTCTGAAGTGGTATAGGGGTTGGACTAGAAGACCTCCAAGGTCCCTTCCTGCTGGAGACATGAGAGGAGTCTCCCAACTGGGCGCCCCCAGGGCGACAGTGATGTCACCACCTAATCCTTTCAAACCTGAAAGCGCTTTAGTGCTTCTGACATGAGTTTAAAAAAATAAAAATCTATCTAGACAGGCTGCTGTTATACAGGTAAGTTCTCAACTTACAACCACAAATGAGAACAGAATTTCCACTGCTAAGCAAGACGGTTGTTAAGCAAGGCGCCGAGTCTATTTATTTTGGGTGTGTTTTATTGTTTTAAAATATTTTTATGGTTTTAATCGTAGGAATTTTTTTTTATGATAAACTGCCCAAAGTCATTGATTGAGATGAACAGCTATAGAAATGGAATGAATGAATAATTTTTATTTTATTTTTAAAAAAGGGGAGGTGGAAGAAAGGCCTATCTGACTCAACCCAGTAACAAACTCTGAAATCACAGGGAAACTTTATATTTTCTTCTTCTTCTTCTTCTTCTTCTTCTTCTTCTTCTTCTTCTTCTTCCTCTTCCTCTTCCTCTTCCTCTTCCTCCTCCTCCGCTATTGGTGAGAAATACTTTCACCCCTCAAATTAAATTGTCTACTCAGGGCCATGCATCAGTTCTTTGAGAATCGAATAATTTAACCGGCGTGGGAAAAAAGCCAGCCGTATATCACTCCAATGAAATTGGATTTGCCTTCTGTACAATCCAAACGACCTCGATTCAGGAGCCTGACTTTGAAAACACAAAACAGAGCACTTCGTTCTGAGGGAGGAATATACTTTACGCATCTTAGATTTATTCGCCAGGCAAGAAGCGGTTTGAGGTTAAACAATTAACCCACAAGTAATCAGGAGTTCTTGGCAAGAAATGTTCCCTATCTCCTTTGGAGATACATGTCACGTTTGTTAATCCCAAAAAAAATTACAGAGTACAAATAAACACTAGATATGAAGCAGATTGGTTAAGCACGTTGGCGGTTTGAAATAATTATTTAGGCACACTTAAAACAAGCTTCCACAACATAGTGCTTTTGGATGGACTACAACTCCCATAATCACCAACATCTGGCAAGTACAAAAAGATTTGATGGGTTTGTTGGATTTTATTTTCCTTAGCAGGATGGCGGTCTAGTGGTTAAAGATGCTCACCTCCTATTCGGAAGGTTGAGAGTTCAATCCTAGGTAGTGACAGATATTTCTCTCCTAGGGCAAAAAAAAAAAAAAAGGTCTGCTGCTAACTCCTCATAGGCGTCAGGAAAGGCATCTGGCCAGTAAATGCTCAGCTCAATACAGTCGCCCTGGCTCTACCTGGAATTAAGGGATTTTACAGGGTCGTAAAAAGGGAGAGTTGGTTTTCTTTTCCTTTCCGGCTTTTGACAGGTCTATCAAGACAGAGACATGACTCCCTAACATCAAAGCGGCTGGTTGAATGTTCTGCATTTAATCAACAGTACGCTGATTTCTTTCAACAACAACGTTGCGTTCATTCTCCATTCGTCCAGCATTTTACCTTCAACATCTGCTCGTTTTCCGCAGCAAAGAGCGAAACCGAACCAAAGACCAACTTGAAGAGTTTGAGATACAGGTTGGACAGTTCCACGTTGGAACCCATTTCGGGCAAGCGGTCAAGCAGATACTCCACCAGGATGGTAGCAAACAAAGCTGAGGTCGTAGGATTGGCCAAGAAAGAGTTCGCAACGATCTGCCAAAATAGAATAAGCGACTGATATATATATATTTCCCCAAACTGCTAATGAAAACTGAAACGTTAATGCTAAAAATAACGTTCATGTTAATTGAGAGCCAGTTTTATCTAGTAGAGAAGGCAAGAGGGCAGAAAACCAGGTGATGGAGAGTTATAGTCCCGCCTTAAGCACGAAAGCCAACTGGGGGACCTTGAGCCAATCATCAGTTGATGGAGAGTTCTAGTCTGGCTTTAAGCATGAAAGCTGGCTGGGTGACTATGAACCAGACACCAGGAGACAGTGAGTTGTAGTCTCACCTTAGGCATGAAAGCTGGCTGGGTAACTATGAACCAAACACCAGGAGACAGTGAGTTCTAGTCTCACCTTAG